TGACACCTGTCCCAAAATGGAAAATCTACTTTATCACTCTCCAGGTGTGTATACAAAAGACCCCTAATAACACAGTTGTGCAGAGTAGTAGAGTCACCAGTGGGCAAGTTAGTATCAGCACCATTTTACATCATCAGGTAAAAATACTACATTTCCCATATGCATTATGTTGCAGAAGATTGTACTGATGGAGGCATCAGTACTGGCAGTATAACGCATGACGGTCGGCTCACAGACAGAAGAGATGATGTTGATAGATGGCAGAAAGAGCTTTTTACTGATGTTAGCTACAAATGCCAGTCAAGATTTGCACAGGAAAATCTCCTGGTTAGTTGATATCAGACTTAAGAGTTGCCACCGCTTTATTCGGTCGGCATAAACTGTTGAGCATGGAACCCAGGTGTGTTGAGAATGGAACCCAACAGAGCAGCTCAGAAGTTTACGAAGAATGCAGCTCACATTTCACTTCGTGATCCAAGTTCGTTGAACTGTAGATAGTTCATGCCGCATATACTTTATAGTCGGGTGAAATGGCCTGTGGGGTGCTGTAACTACATGTTATTGGATGTACCTTCACAAATCTGAAATTTTGTGACCAAGACAAATGCTAGCACCTTTACCTCTATCTGATTGCTCTAGAGAACCGTTGGGGAAACCTGTAGACTCTGAGATGTAAAACAAAAGGTGGCTGATGTCTGATAAGCAGTTCGTGGCACACTTAGTGTCACTCCCGCCACCGTAGAACATTTATATTGTGTATCAGTAAGATGCCACGGGGAAGTCTCACCGAAGGAACCATTTGTTGCTGTCAAATTGCGGGATGTAGCAGGAATAAAATGTAAAATTCATTGGGTCTGATGTGGTACGAGTGTACTTTACAGTTGGTCTCTCCATCACTGAGTCCGGGATGTCACTTGTCATCCATCATTGCACCACAGTTAGAGTGACTGTTGGATTGTCTTAACCTTTTCAGTGACTGGCCAATTAGAGTTAGGCATTATAATTAACCCCAGATACTGGAAGTCGTGTATTAATGGTGAAGCAAAATAAAAAAACTGCAGGTCTGCTTGAAGGATTGTGGGGTGCCGTCTCTTTTGAAAATTTATCGTTGATAGCGCTACCATCATACTTTACATTAAGACCAGCACATTAGTCCCAGTCACAAGTACCCGTGAAATGTATGGAAATGTACTTCTGAGAAGACTTTTGAGTGTTAAGAGATGGAGTGTGGCTTACCTAGATAGCTCTGGTGAGGTAATATCTGACATCCAGATGTTTTTCATGAAATTCTGAGTTCAGTTGCATTAGCCATGATTTAGCCAACAGCTATGAAAACTCATTTCTGTTGCGGTGAGACCTTCTTGTTGGTTGAATGTTGTGATTTTCCATGACAGAGAATACTTCAAAGCCACACAAAGGCAGCTTTGTCAGTGAACACAGGCAAATTTAACTGTTCTCTTGTGGTGATGAACAGCTATATGGATGTTGGATGTCCTTTGTTATAAAAATTATCATACAAAAACTTGGGGAACATAAGACAAATCAGACACAGTTTGGCTGGAAAAAGGGAAAAGCTTTAATTTGTGACTTTTCCAAAACAAACACCAACGTCATAAACTATATTGTGAAACAACTCACTAGGTAAGACTTATAATTAACAAGGCGGAGAAAGGGGTGGTGGTGGGTGAAGAGACAAACAAAAGGAAGACCGGCACACAAGTTGAATGGGGTATCACGTGATTGTGTCAAGGGTTACGGGCTGAAACAAAAGAAACAGGGGTTTTCTAGACAATAATTAACAAAAATTACCAATGGTCAATTTTTCCCACATCACACATGTACTGAAGTACAATTTTGTAACATGTAGTTCCATACCATAGCAATAGGAACATGTACATGTTGAGCAGAGGGAACTGGTGTATTTGCGTACATACTATTGGTCTCTGTATCTATATAGCCGGTATAACTGCTCTTTGGTGCAACACACCAGCTTTGCAGGCACACGGCATGGTGGCATCTAGCTATATTACACTGAATGACCTGTTACACCCAATCTTTGCACATTTAATTGCAAGAGTTGTTTAAAGCTTTGTAGTGATGATGCCCCAAATTTGCTTGGTGTTCATTCCATTCCATTGGTAGTATCCATTACTTATTTTGTACAATGTAACCTGCCAGATTTTCCTAGTCCAATTAATCCAAGTCACCAATTCATTTGCAACCACCATTTGATGTAAATTTGTTGAATACCCTGTTTCCCACAAAGAACTTTTGTTTTCCAGGCCCATGCAGTTCCAAATCATGTGTGTTTGCAAATGTGGATGGCATTGAGCACAAGGGACCAAGGACAGGTATTATACTTTTGTGTGGATGGCACCAAGGACAGCAGGTATGTTTCCCTTATGTGGTTAGTGTTCAGCATTAGGGACAGGTAAGAGGACAGTGTGAGGACAGTGTCCAGTATCCAGGACAGGTCTGTTTTCCCATGTGCTGATGGCATTCAGCACCAAGAACAGGTCTGTTTTCCCATGTGTTGATGGCATTCAGCACCAAGGACAGGTCTGTTTTCCCATGTGTTGATGGCATTCAGCACCAAGAACAGGTCTGTTTTTGCGATGTGTAGATAGTATTCAGCATCAAGGACAGGGCTGTTTTGCCATGTATGAACAGTTCAGTACCAAGGACATGTCTGTTTTCCCATGCATGGATCATGTTTAGCACCAAGAAAGGTCTGTTTCCCCATGTATGGATAGTGTGCAGCACCAAGGACAGGTCTGTTTTTCCATCTGAGGAAGGTGTCAGCACCAAGGACAGGTCTGTTTCTCCATTTGTGGATGGTATTCTGCACCAGGGACAGGTCTGTTTTCCTATGTAAAGATGGTGTTAAGCACAAAGGAATGTCTGTTTTCCAATGTATGGACGATGTTCAGCATAAAGGAATGTCTGTTTAGGAATGTATGGACGATGTTCAGCATCAGTGACAGGTCTATTTACTTGTGTGGACAGTATTTATCACCAAGGACAGATCTGTTTAGTTGTGTGAGGACAGTGTTCAGCACCAAGGACAGGTCTGTTAACTCACATGACGACAATATTCAGGTCCAAGGACAGGTCTGTTTTTCCATGTGTTTATTAGGTACTAGTGCTTCCTTGCTTATGTACTCCAAAAGCATGTTCAATCCAAGCCAATGTACAGCTGTCCCAGGCAAATCATAAGGCAGGGGCTTCATGTTGGGCAGGCTGCCAGAGTTAGATGTTTCAATCAAAAAGTTTGAAATTAATCTGGACTTCGTTGGTCTACCCTGTTAGTCACATTGGACAAGGGAATCTGGTTCATGCTTATAATCAGACTAGCGATTTCTAGTAGCGTGCGTGCGCAGTCCAGTGGTTTGCGACCTTGCCTCTGGAGCAAGAGGTTGAGAGTCCAAATCCCAGCTGATGTTGCTCATCTGACCTGCACGCTACTGGACAGTCTGTAGGATGGGATGTTGATGTTAAGCATTGTCCACTGTTCATTGTGCTTGTCGAAAAGAGCCAGGAGAATTTCCAGTGTTCAGCACCAAGGACAGGTCTGTTTTCCCCTGTGAGGACTGTTCGAACATGTTGAAATGATGTGGTTGGTTGGAAAGACGTCATCACGCCTCACAATAGCCTTATGTTTAATCTCATTTCCTTTCAATAGACCCAGGAAAACATTACAACAGCTTGATTGAGTGGTTACAAATGAACCATGTGGCACAAACAGTACTGATGAAAAACAGGAAATTGGTTGGTAGATTTCAGTAACCGCCCATCCATCCAGTCTTCAGTGGGTGGAATGGGGTGGATGTCAGATTTCTCCCAAATGCTCAGTTATATTTTGCCCTACAATGATTACATCTGAACGCATTGAGGAATTCATTTTCATGCTTGCAATCTGATTGAATATAGCTTTCAGAACCGCTTAGATGAAATGAGTGACGACACTGAAGTTTTGTGCTGCATTTCTCAACATTGTCACTAGGTGGCTCTTTTATGCAGTTTAACCTAAACCAGTGTCTATTTAGCAGAGTGCTTGCAGAGATAACTTTGCATATTCCAAGCAGATGAAGATGGGTACAATTTATGGCTACCGGCAGCACAGAGATGTGAATAAAATCTTGTCTCTTTAAATTCCCTATTAAAACATTTCTGTTTACCATAACACCCAATGTATGTATATGTGGGTGGTATTCGGTACCAAGGACAGGTCTGTTTTCCCATGTGTGGATGGTGTTTAGCACCAAGGACAGGTCTGTTTTCACATGTGGATGGTGTTTAGCACCAAGGACAGGTCTGTTTTCCCATGTGTGGATGGTGTTTAGCACCAAGGACAGGTCTGTTTTCACATGTGGATGGTGTTTAGCACCAAGGACAGGTCTGTTTATCCATGTGTGGATGGTGTTTAGCACCAAGGACAATTCTGTTTTTTCATGTGTGGATGGTGTTTAGTGTACCTTATACCTTAAGGCCACGCCAATTTAATTTGTTGGTTCTAGGATTCTCCTCTTCATTTTTTTCCGATTTGCAAAGAAAAAAAAAGGTTCTGGGTCTGAATCAACTAAAACATGCTCATATTTTCCTCCCAACAGTTGAGGAAAGTCATTTTCTTCCTACTTGTTGCAGTTTTTCAATCTATCAATGCAGTGGTTTGATTAAAAGTTCAAAATTCATTGTTTAAATGTTAACCCAGCCTTTTGTGTTTACTTCATGGCTCCAATTGTACTATTTGGGGCTATAATAGGATGCCTGGACCTGTTTTTATTTTTATTTTTTTTCGCCCTGTCGCTTCATATTTTTTCTGAAAAAATCCGAGAACGAACAAATTAAATTGGTGTGGCCTAAAGCTGCATTCTTCAAACTGAAACAGTGACACCCAGCTGCAGTTCAAAGTACAGCTAGTCAGTATTGCTCAGAGGTAGATGACAAACAGTTACCAAAACATTGGCAAGGCATAAATACTTGGTTGTGTTCAAATTACAACAATAGAGATGGTGGTTGATATGTAAACTCCCTGGCACGTTCAATCAATCGCTGACGTCATGCATCCATAATAAAGTCTTGTGTGCATAAGGTCACGTGTCTGTAATCGTAACTCTTGCGGGGTTTACGTTTAGAACTCATTGGTCATTACTTATCCTAATGAAAGCGACAGTGGTCATTGAAAATTTGACCTCTGTGTGTTGGAATAAAGTTTAGCATTGTACTATGATTACTACCAAGACAGATTAACTTCCATGATAAATAACATTGTTATCTACATTGTAGTTACTACCCAATATTTAGTGCATTCCCATAGAATAAGCCTGGTTAAAGTACAAAGTTTATGCAGTCTGGGGAATTTGGACAAGACCACAACTTCACTGGATGAAAAATTGATTTTATGTCGCCGTGACCTCACAAGGTCATATTTGGCACTGATTACATGACAAAGTATATCCAATTTTTGCTCACCAGCTATGACCCACCAATACTTTGGAATTGACAAAAATCCATCTGGCCTGGGAAACCACCGAAACCCCAGATTCCACTTAAATCTATTAGTAAATCCAGCTGTATACCTTTCAATGATCTTTGGAATACCAAAAACGATCTGCTTTCCATTACATTTTATTCAGACAAGAAGACATTGATAAAGCTAAAAAGGAGACATACTATGATACACTCTGATGCAAGCACCATAGGAATGTTACATTGCATACACAAGTGACCTGTTCTAGTTGTCTCTTGATAGCAAAACCCAAAACATAGCATGAATCATGAATGTCTTTTTCTGTGATCTGGCAGAATTTTAAAAAGGCATTGATGACAAGGTATACTTTTTGCCACACCATCAGTCACCATACATGTCAGAGAGCCGTTTGTAGCTGTAGCTGTATCCCGGGAGGTTGTGACGAGAGCGCCTCACTTTGACAACCACGAAAACTGCAGCAAGGACCACTACTGCTACAGCTGAAGTAGTGATGAGCACAAGAGGAAGGGTACTTCCTCCAAAGGTTTCAACATGGTTCTCCGCTGGAAAAGAGGGTAAAAGTTAGTTTGGAAATTTGCCAAGAATTAATGAAAAACTCAGGGTTCGAAATACTCGCGCTTACACTCTTGCCGCACAAGTCTCATTTTTTGTGCAAGACTTATTGAAGATGATAGGGTGCCTATTTTTAGTGAAATTTATCATGTACAGCTGCAATACCTTAATTGGGAAGAGCTGCTTGCTTTGTAACTGGGAGGTTGTGAGTTCTAACCCAAGCCAGACATTGTAAAAAATGGTACATACTGCTTTCTCAGCATGTATGAGAGAGTATGGGAAGGTCAAACACACAACACTACCAGGGGCTAGCCCCCTGCTGTAGTGCTTGCAAAATTGTGTAACTGTGTAGTCCAGAGGGCTACAAAAATGAAATTTACATGTATAAATGAGGGTACTGTCGAACCTTTGTAAGTGGTGTCCTGCAGAACAATGGGTCCCTGGTAGATGGAGTGCAGCCCTGTCATGTCTGACACCTCCCTCCTGCGACGGGCACCACCACAACCCTAACAGGATAAAGGCATCCAATGTAATTTCAGGGCGGTATTAAAAACAAAAAAATATTCAAACTGACTGAATGAGGAAATCTGTCTGATACTGACATTTTTTATGTCATTTCTTAATACACACCACGATATGGGTGAAATATAATATGGAACAATTTGTGATAACCAAATAGAACAGGTTACAGGCATCCAATGCAATTTCAGGGCGGCAAAACAAAAAAAATATTCTGAATGAGGAAATCTATCTGATACTGACATTTCATGTCCTTTCTATGTACATACCACGGTATAGGTGAAATATATATGTTAATTATTCCATGGAACAATTTGTGATGACCAAAATAGAACCTGTCAGGTTAAAGGCATCCAATGCAATTTCAGGGCGGCAAAACAAAAAAAAATATTCTGAATGAGGAAATCTGTCTATTGACATTTGATGTCATTTCTTAGTACTTACCATGGTATAGGTGAAATATGATTATTCTATGGAACAATTTGTGATAACCAAATAGAACCCTGGGCTGTATCACACGGGCCAGAACACCCGTATCAAACGTTTTCGCGGCCCAGGTATGACATAAAAATGCCTACAAATATATTTTGGATGCCTGGCACGAGCATAAAGTATCCTGACCTGTGCACAGCGGGATCCAGTATCAGCAGCCTCGCACACTTCCACCTCACAGTGGATGTACACCGTCTTCAGTTCCCGGATAAAGCGGAAGGCTTCAAACCCAAAGCGTTCGACATCTGCTTGGCTACTGCCAAACATCTGAAGCGTGCTGTCTGCACCGCATCTAACAACAACAAAAAAAAGAGATTTTAGACCTCCAGGAAGTTTTGTTGGTTTTCTTGACCTTCAAGTTCACCTCCATTTTCTGTGTCTCACCTGTCAATCTTCCCCCACCCATGTGCTGTCAACCTGTTATGTCTGAACAGAAACACAAAGTACAACAGCTCAGCCACTCAAAACAATACTTCTGAACCCAGATTGAATTAATTACAGGAAGGAGCAATTTTTATCAGTAAATCTGCAATTTTTGAGTTACTTGTCAAAGTATGTATGCTTGATCAAAGTGTGCTGTGCTAATTGTCTTTGAAGCATATAGTCACGGCATTTCTTCTTACAGAATATGTCAATTGCCAATGTTTGTACATTTCATTTTCTACAAGTTATTGATATCTAACATGCTGAAAACAGTTCTGTTTGTTTTCCTTAAAAGCATTGCAATGGCACAATTTTGTTCTCACCCATCTTGAAGCAGTGGGTAGTTGAGGGAGTCATTTTTGTCCGGTGACATTGTGGCCTTACAGTTCAGCCCAAGGACGGACAGCAGCTGGTCGTGACCTTGAACTTGCAGCTGTAAGAACACCATGTCGTGGAGCCTCTTGTGGATGGGGTACTCCGATCTGGTGTAGGACTGGAGGTAGTTGCGTGTGTGGAAGATGTCCAGGTGGATGGATAGCTTGCCAAAGCCGACTTCGTGAAACTCCAGTCCACCTGGGATAGGCATGAACCTTGCCGTGACGTCCTGGTCACGCTCGTACTTGCAGCTGAAATGAAGCAGCATCGATGAAGGTTAGACATCCAGGTGATATGAGAGAATGTAGAACCCCTGTGACCCTCAACATGGAGGGGGGCTAGGGGTGCAACTCTCTGGCACTTGCGGCCTAGCAGTCCCAGCCCCAAGGACAGACAACACTTACTAATATTAAGCTCCTGTTCTGAAACAACATGACCTGATTTTTTTTTCATTTGCATCAACCTTGTCTTGGCTTTGTCCAACTTTTGTTTCCTATTGGACTATGAGAAATTCCTCTTCACTTCACTTACATATCAATCAATATTTCATGTTTAAAAACCTGCTGTTTTCGAGACCTCTTCTGTGTCACTGACAAAAAGTAGTGGATGCCACTTCCAACATCTGTCTGTTTCCAAAATTATAACCTGTTGCTTGATAACAGTTTTTAGGCAAAATGAAGCAAAAAAAAATGTCAGGATACTTATGAAGCATAGTATCATTAGCTGGTAATAACATAATAAGAGTGTATCTCATTAACCAACATCATAACACAGTACAAAACAGTATGAAAGCCAGTCAAATCTACCGCACAAAAAGTTGAAGAATAGCCTGCTACTTACTTAGAATGCATAATGATGTCATCGTCTCGACTGATGACTCCCGTGGCCTTGTGGATGTTATAAAGGCTGACAAGGTTGGAGAAGATGACATACTTTGGATCAAAGGTTACCTATGAAAGATAGTTAAAGAGAAAACCTCAGGTGAATATTCGCTCTAGGAAACATAATTTTCCATCAAATGTTCACTGTAGTTTGTCATTTATTCCAGGTAAAGCAAGTGAAACTCCTAAATCAGGAGTTTACAAAATGTAGTGTTCTAGGCAGCGTTCCACATTTTCCCGTCCTTTGATGGAATCTTGCTACCCATGACAGACAAAAATTTTGCCCAATCCGACATCATTGATGGACAAAAATCATCGTGCAAAGATATATAAAGAAATGTCATTAACCTCTAGAGGCATAGTCTACCATCAAAATTTGCCCTTCAAAATGCAGGAATTACCATTTCAGAGGGTGTTGGACATGATGTTACATGTACATCAAACAAAATTGAGATGATGGAAAAAAACTCAGGCTGGCTAGAACACTGGTAGTGTCTAAAAAAGGCACTAACCAAACCTGGATGTCACCTGATTACCAGATAGATAGATAGAACTTAATTGCATGACAGTTGGTACAATGTGTGGCAATGACTACTGAACAAACATTTGTAGTACAAAAAGAAAAGGGACTACCTTTGTGCCACACTCGTACAGACCAGTTCGCAGCAGGTGGTGTGTACCGTTGAACAAGGCCATGCATGTTGCATCAGGGTCCCAGTGCAGGTTGCTGGTGTTTACTATTGCCAGTTTGTCCGCAGGCAGGGCCAGTTCCATGTACTCGTTAGTACAGGTAGTGGATGCACCAACAACTAGGGAGTATAACACCAGACAGATTGGTACTTGATTAGGAGACATCGGAAGTTCAAAAGAATGTATAAAATGACATATATAGGATTTTGTGTAAATTTCTTGTTTTATTCCTTGTGAATTTCTCTGTTAACATCATTCTATATATTTTCCCACTCACACCCTGTCAACAGCGGCCCAGGGCCAACTTTCTGTTGGCTCTCAACCAGGCCTAAGTGGGTAAGTAGCATCGATGCGGAGCCGTCAGTTCCTTCCAAGTTGACCTTATGGTCAATCTGCAGTAACCAAATCCTCCCTTCCTGCCATTCTGCTGAATTCAAATACCTAAAAGCACATTTCTTAGTAAACAAACAGCAAAAACACACCCAAAATAATACATTTGTACACAAAGGTGAAGACACACTTGATCTGAATTAATGTTAATAAGCCTGCATACTTCAGAATGTTATTGAAATTGCTTATCACAGAGATCTAAACTATGCCAAAATCTTATTACTGTACTTGTGTACTTGTAAACTTACATGTGCATCCTCTTCCATCCTCTGCCAGCACCAGGAGGCCATTGGAGCATGCGCAGGTGTAGCTCCCAGCTGTGTTGATGCAGACATCCTCACACATGCCATTATCCGTGGCACATTCATCAACATCTGTGGACCAATCATATAACAGTCTGATTTACATATACGCAATGATATCTTGGAATTCCAACACTGAGCAATGGACTTGATGGTCTACAAAAATACAGCATTAATTTTATGTTCAAAGGCAAATCAAACTCTACTACTGGATAACACGGAGATTATTTCCGGACGTTTCGTCTGTCACTCTTCTTCAGCATTATTAAAATGAACTAAGAGAACTACTCACTTCACTTGTGACTTATTCTCTTAGTTCATTTTAGTGACTCTGAAGAGAACTAGAGAAAAAGTCAACACTAATCACAAGAGTGTAGTTTAAGAGAACTAGCCAACGCTAATCATAAGTGAAGCGAGTTAATTTCAGTGACACTGAAGAAGAGCAACGGATGTCACTCGAAACATGTGGAAGTACAAAAGTAATGTATAATCTCTGTACTTTATCCAGTAGTGGAGTTCAATTGGTCTTTGAATATTGTTCAACTGGATGTCTAACCATCATCAACGTTCAGCATTCTTTTGATGGATTATTGCAAGACAAGCATGTTACTGGTAGTGGTGGTTTTTGGAGTCAACTGACCTGTACACATGATGCCATCACCCTTGTATCCATGGTTACACTCACACCTGTAGGACCCAGGAGTGTTGACACAAGTTGCATTTGTGCTACACATGTCACCCTTGTCCTCAGCACATTCGTTTATGTCTGGAAAATAAAACATTATGATCAGTTGAATGAAACGTAACGTACATGCAAGCATGTAACTTCAGGTTCAGGCCATGCCAATTGGTTCTCGGATTCACCTCTTGATTTTGTTCTGATTTGCAAAAAAAAAAAGATTTCATGTTCTGGATCAATTCCAAAATGCTCAATATTATGGCCTCAACAGTTGAAGAAAGTCCTTGTCTTCCTATAGTTGTCAAAGTTTTCCCATCTATCAATTCAATGGTTTCATTAAAAGTTCGCATTGTATGAATTATAACACGGCCTATTGTAACATTTCATTTTTTTTATTTTGCCCTGTCCCTTCATATTTTTTCCGGAAAACTCTGAGAACCAAATTGGTGTGGCCTCATACTGGAGGGATTAATTTTGATAATTCTTAAATTGTAACAAATTTGTCCCCATATCAAAATACGCCCTCCTCTTGGCATTAATAGTATGGGTAAAAATACAGCAATGCCAATATCTGACAACAGTTGAAGAATACCTAGAATCTAGTATCATATGTATGCTATACTATCATAACTTACTCACCAGTGCATAGCCTTCCGTTTCCCACATAACCAAGTTCACAGATGCAGTCATGTGACCCGGGCAGGTCAACACAATGAGCATTTGCGTGGCATCCATGGGTCCCGGCAGCACATTCGTCAATGTCTGTTACAGGTAAAATACAACAAATGACACAATGCTACTGTACCAACATCTGACTTAGCAATGTAATATATAGCAATGAGAGATAGATGTAAAGATTATAGTTCTGCTTCTACATTGAAATGACGTACACTACACATGTAGACTCAAATTGACATTTCACTGAATCTGTCAAGTGACCAAAATTTCAAGTTAGGCCATGTTGATCTGATTATCTGGATGATGTCCGTGTGAGCACAAATTTTCGTCCATTTGCGACCATCCTGTAAATCGTACAAATCAGCTGTAAAATGAGCAAATATATGCAGTAAATTGCAAAAAATATATTGGAAAACAATACCAAAATCAATCAGAAAGGAAAAGAAGAAAAAGTAAGGAAATGAGAATCAACTTGAAGGGTTTATTATTTGTCATACCATACTCTGTGTTTAGTGACTTAGTCATTTGTTCAGCCTTCATGACCATACAGATGTCAAATCGACATAATGTTCAAGGCAACTTTTTTTTGGCAAACTTTCTTTATTCCAACGCATGAATCAGTTGAATCCATATATTAAACAAATGATATCCAACATGGCCTTAGTGACGAATATGAATAAGGATCCTCCCAAGATCAAGTGGTCTAAATATCCTGAGGTCATATTTGAAGGCTATGAAGGCTATATAAGGCATATCCTGAAGGCTATGAAATTCCTTAGCCGCATAGGCTCCTACACTTTGCTATAGTGTGGGAGCCTATGCGGCATAACTCTTGAAGGCATGGTTTGATGCTTTAATTAGTTTAATATGATTTTTGGCAGGCAGGTTACTGTTGGGGAGACCAAGGTCAAGTTAAAAAATGGGCCTCGTGGAACTGTAATTGTCTATGAAAGTGTTTCCTTACTCATGCACACAGTGCCATTGCCTGCGTAGCCTTGGTTACACTGACAGATGTAGGAGCCAGGAGTGTTGATGCAGGTGGCATTGCCATGGCAGAGGTCTGGACCAAGTGTGCACTCATCCACATCTGTTCAAAGGAAGACAGTAAGATGGATAATTTTGACAAATACCTTAAACAATACACACAACAAAAAGAGTTTGCTACTAGACAGCTTTCAACACACATTCTGTCTCTTCATCAACAATGTAAAGTTAGATTTCATCTTGGAGTTCTTGTGATAATGTACTACATTACATCTTATTTGTCCAGAATATGACATAGGATCCATGTTTTGAACTTTGTATAAAGAGAGCATAAAGAGCATAAAAGTCTGAATACAATATGACCTATTACAAATTCTTAGAGATATTTGAAGCCGATAGATAGATGGAAAATGAGAGCTATCTTGAAGTCTTGTTCATCAGGTGCATCTTAACGAGATAATAATCCATAATGTACAATGACAAGTGAGTTAGACCTACCATCACACTGCTTGTTGTCCAAGGGGTTCAGCAGCCTCCCAGCAGGACACACACAGTGGTACGATCCATCCGTGTTCACACAGTCATGCGAGCAGCCGCCATTGTTCACCAGACACTCGTCCACATCAGGTTTCCCTATTGGGTAGAAAACAGAGGCAGAAACACAACTCAGGTGGTTAGTGTTCTGTACGTGACAAGCAAAAATATTGAAAAACTAGAAAAGTAACATTTGCAAAGCAAATGCATAATGTTTACCTTCGCATATGGTCTGCTCTGTTAATTCTTACTCATGTACATGGTGACAGGAGTCCAAATCCCTCCTGCTATAAAATTGTGACATGATATAACCCAACACCAGTTATCATGGTGCCAAACGTCTGGTTCAGGTCGTTGACCTTACTAGTATTTGTTTGGAGAAGAAGAAGAGGAAACAGAGCAAAAACAATATGTTTTCCTTCGGTAAGCATAATAAAGTTACAAAATAGCCATCTCACAGCCATGATTTTGTTGGGTCTAAAAGTTTCACACACTGATGATTGATTAATCTAAATGTTTCATTATGCTTGTAGATATTTTTCATGCCAGAACAGAATTTTAGAGCATCTCTCACCGTCGTAGACAAGAGTGATGCAGCGCTGGTCGGAGTTGATTCTATTGTAACAGTTGCAGGAATGACAGAAATGTTAGCAAATAATAATTGAATTTTGTTTACAATGATGAATACACTAGCTGTTGAATACAAAGTGTAAAGTTTTTGACATCATCAAAGATGATATTTCAATGTCAAAACATAAGTTGTTGTATGCATGAGGTTAAATATTTGCTGAAACCAGACATGTATATGAGGTAAGTGTTGAGAAAAGAGGGTACTATATATAACTTTAATAGTACATGTTCATGTATTTTCTTTGCAAATCTATGTGTCAATGCCCTTCTCACCTGTTTGTATCCTGCGCCAGGAAGCAGAAAACGTGTTGGCCAATTTGTGTCTCTTGAGGTGTCCAGGTGATGTTGACGTTTGCACGACGGGGATTGTCAGGATCGGTTGTCAGGGCAGACTTTATCATACCGAGGGGAGACACGGTCGAGATCTCTGCAATGCTTGAAGCGATGCACAGAATTTTTAAATGATAATACCTACATAAGCATGCATGTAGTCCCTGAGCCCTAAATGACCTGGCTTGATCGTTACATAATAGTTTAGGTTTACCACCATTCAATGTTACATCACAATGTTTTTCTCAGTTGAAACTTTGGATGGTGAAATGACTCAACATTAGTGTTAGATTAACTTACTAGTATTTCGATCCAAAAAGTTAACATAAATTTCCTGACAGTAGCACATTTCATACCCTTCTCCCACATAGCCATCCAGAACATTTTCAAAAGGCAATTCCAATGCAATTTTTGAGCCGCATAACTGGATTTTCGAAAAGTCAATTTTCTGGTCATTGAAGTTGAATCAATCCTATCCCATAGCACACTGATATGTGTGAGGCAAAAATGTGATGTCGCTGGCGGAAAACGGTTGGCAATGCTTGTTTTGTATCCTCGTCTGGTTCTAGTTATTTATGGGTGGTACCCCAAAAAATAAAGGGACTCCTCAGGTGGCTTGTTTTGTGATATTTCAAGTATGACATGATGACAAAAATGTGCATGGCAGTAAATGTCAAAATCAGACAGATTTCCTCATCCAGAATATTTTTGGTCTCTGCCCTAAAATTGCTTCGGATACCTTTAAAAACACACATATATCTACATTTTATCCGTTACCCCTTCAGATTAAGGATCTACTGCACCCTTACCTAACACCAGGGTTAGGAGACTCTGCCTCCAATACGGCATGATAGGTTCCTCCACCGGGAACCAGGACTCTGTCCCTGTCTTGAGGGGTGCGGCCGGTCAGAACTGGTTTCATGTTGCACTGGTTGTTGGAGGTGTAAGCTGCGAAAATACATGATTATACATAACACTTTACAGCATACATGCTCAATGGGTACTGGTATAATACAGGTAATTATAATAATACAATTGCTTTAACTAGCAAACAAAATCATCACAAAGCTGAAGAAAATGTTTTTGCAACATGTGATTCTAGAGCCCACGCCCAGTCTAGGGAAAATACGTAACTATCAATCCTTAGCCTGATGTCCAGTCTATCGCGGTTGGGGCGGGTTCTCTTCGGGGCTGCGAAAGCTCTTCCCCGCCCGACCTCAGCTAGGTGAGCCGGTAGGTTTTACACGACTATCGTGGTGGGGCTAATCAAGTCCCAGCGAGCAAAACTCTAACACTACAACCGGGCGGCCTTTTTAGCTGGACGGGGGGAAACTAGTATTTAAGCCCGAAAA